ACGATCATGACATAATCGCAACTCATAACCCGTTTGACACCTTGGTGCCCAAACCATTTTTGAACTCATTTTTACGTTCAAAACAATTTTTTTCCATTTTCATAGCTTAATTTAACCATGTAAATTCATATCCGCACATGGTTTGAAGATAAAACACTCAAAATTCATCAAACATTCGATGAAATACACTCTTTAAAACAATACTCACTACATGCATGAACCCAAAACAAACAATCATGAATTTCATTATCTTTTAATGTTTTCAAAGTCTAAAAAACATATTAGGAGAGTATGTGAGAATAACATGACCTTACCTAAACTTCTAAGCTTTCGGGTTCCAAAAATAAATTTACTTGCGGTTTGAAGAAGGAAGGTTGCTCGGTAACCCATGATTTTTAGAAGGATTTTTGAAAATTTAAGGAAAGAAAAAGCTTAAGGGTTAGTTCTTGGAAGTCTTAGTGAAGAAAAAAAATCAAGAAGAAAAGAAGAAAGCTTACTATGCGAAGGAGGAAAGCTTCTCAGGTCTCCTTGGTTCCGTCTCACATAATCCTCTTTCTCTCTCTCTCTCTCTCTCTCTCTCTCGGCTAAGTGAAAAAGAAGGAAAAAATGAAGAAAAATGGAAGAGAATAAAGGAAATTGGCTTTAAATAGCCAAGAGCGGTGCATTTGATTCGTTGGATCACATGCAACAGCTGTTGGCCGTTGATCGACCAAGTGGCTGACCGGCCATCGCCTCATGGCATGCGTACACACCATGTGGAAGTTGGGCAGGCAAGGCATGCAGGGCAGAAGCGATAGCCCTGTCCATGATAGGATGCAAGGTTGCACTGCACTATTCCCACATAAGTGCTGCAGGTGCTTGCGTACGTGGCCCACGGCCTCGCGGGCGCGCTGGCTCGCGTGTCCACGCTTATGCCCGTGGGTATTTCCCACAAGGCCTGCTTGCGGGTCCCTTCTCCATTACTTCCTTTTTTTCTTTTGTTTGATTTAAAATTTTCTAACACTTTTGGCAAAAATAAAATTAAATCACATCTAAAAATATTTTAAATGCCAAATTAGAAATTAAAATACTATATCTGATACTAAAAGGTTCAGGAATGCCACATGTTATTTACTAATAATATGCTAGAGCAACCAACTTGGAAACTAAATCCCAGTACATGGTCTTGAAAATGAGAAACTTAATGTTTATCCACCAAAAGCAGTAATTTATATAGGATGGATGATTTTGGGTATATTATTGACACTCTTATTAACATATAGATACTTTGTAAATAGGTGGTACCCCTTTGGTATCTTTTTCTTAATATATTTTGATACTTTTTTAATTAAAAAAATTAATGTTTATCCACTTTAAATTAGGTAAATTAATGGAAATTCCTAGTTAATCCCATAAATAAGTCATCTTTCTGAATATTAATGGCATCTATGTTAATAAACAGCATCTGAAATTCGTATAAATGGGATATAAAACAAAATTGCATGAATTGAAAATTGAAATCATATCATATAAGGGCTTTTTTTCATAAATTTTTTTACAAGTGTTTGTTGAAACATAAATGAAATACAATATACTTAATGAAAATGATAACACAAAAAATATTGTGATTATGTTGACAATCAAATAAACTAAGATAATACTAGTTTGGATATAGTTGGGGCATATTATCATTACCTTTTCGTAGCATCATAAAGATTTAATCCAATAGGAACCAGAGTTCCTTTATCTGTGATAACTTCAACTATCGGTCCAATTTTGTCTCAAAAGTATCATCGACCTAATGCACATCCATGTCAAGATATTAATGTTGCAACCCAATTATGCCTTCATTCCAAATTTTTGTTACAAAGGTTTTATAAGGGAATTCAACTATTCTCTTCTTCCAAACAAGTGCATTATGCCTTTGTGTTCAAATTTTGGTTACAAGAGTTTTATTTAATTCTTATGTATAACGAACACAAAAAAATATCATGTGGGGTCTATTTTTAGGATTTTCAAAAGATAGAATTCCTTAAGGTAGACTAGTAAGAACCAAAAGTTCAATTTCTTAAGTAGCACCTATAAATCGTCAAGAAATTTAGGATATCCAAATAAATATTAGGCAACGTTGATAAAACAAGAAATTTTAGAATACGCTACAAAGACAATTGGAACACCCTGGATGACTATTATAAAAATCATCAACTTTAATTTCTTTAAACCCAACATTAAACTCGATTACTTCTTTGAAGACTTAACGAAGCCCTTCTCTTCGAGAATCTCTCCCTCTTCCACATTATCATTGATAGGTTTACCATCACTAATAGGGAATGAACTAGGAGGAGCACTATTTTTATCACATTGTTGAATGTCCTCTTCGTGATTTTATAATTGTTCAAAGGCTTGCAAAGACTTGTTGAGATTTGGGGAACAAGCTGTCGAGAGGCAAAATTGTTGACAATCATCTTTCTAGTGTCAAGCCGAGATATTTGTGCAAACATCCTCGGTTATTGACTTTCGTGGCTTCATCTTAGAGTTTTGCAACATTTACACAGGCAACTATAGGGGGCACTTATTGACCATAGGTTTTGGAGCAGATTTCGAAAAAAACTAATAATCAATAATTATGTTGTTTTAATGGAGAGCTCGATGTGAAAGATTTTTATTAGAGAGATGAAAATTATGAGATCCGAAAACAATAGCTACAAGCATGAATGAGAAAAAAATGTTAAATAGAGAAATACACGTAAGAGAGATAAATTTGAATATAAATAAACACGGAGAAGATATCAAAAATAAATTTTTATTTCGAATGGGCTTTGGTTTAACGGGTTTTTGGTGAGTCTTATTCACTGGGCTTCAATTTAAGAAGTTTTAAATCTAAGGAATCTAATGGACTTGCAGGGCTAAACCAAACAAATTGAGAGCTAATTTAGTTTAGGTTGGGACTTTTACAAACAAAAACTGTTTGTATATATATTAACTTTTAGTAACAAACTAGACTTTTGTCAGTAAAGTGTTTCTTATACAAACAAAAATTATTTTTATGAAAAAATTACTAATGAGAAAATGCATCAATGAAAAAGGTCCATATAGTATGAGAATCAAATTATACCAATGGATCCACAGGTATAGGTTTACCTTTAGTTATGGAATTTAAGCTGACCATTACTAGAAATTATTTTTCTTGTAGTGGCATGACTAATTGATTTTAAATGTTTTTAAGATCAAACTCGCTTTGATAGATCTATTGAATGTTGTAAAGCAAACTTGGTGGCTAATGGATATTCTAAAAAATAAGGTATTGAGTATAGACAATTGTTTGCTTATGTGACTTAAATTAACTTATGTTTATAGTTTGTCGATTATTTTGTTCCTACTAGGCAACATTGTTTTCTCAAATGGATGAGAAACATGTGTTTTTAATGTTAATTTATAAAAAAAAAATTTATGCATCTTGTTCTCGCCCTTCCCACGAGATTTGTCAACTTTGTTGAACCTTATATCAGATTAAAACAAGCATAGAGGGTTTAGATTTCTAAATTTAATTATATAATCTCTAATTTTGATCTTATATACCTTTCTTATAATTATGCTTTATTGCTTTGACATGCTGATTATAATACTTTTTTTTATTATTCTATATTTCCTGATATGATCGTAAAATGTAATATGCAATGTGTAATTTAGAAATACAACACTATTATAGTCAATAATGCAAGCTCTTCTTACTCCCAATTTTTTTTTCGGGTCTTAAAATTATTCTCTAATGATGAGTATTATCTCTTTCAAGCTAAATACAATTTTAACTTGTTTTCTCATACTAGTATCGCTGTCAGCAAAATTATTAATAGATCATTAGAACCTAATGTGAAACTTATCAGTTTAGATGGTATTCGTCTTGCTAATTCTACTATGTATTATAATTGACTAAAAGTCTTGTTTGTCTCAATGTTATTGTCTTATGCAATTTTACTAATTAGTTAATTTATGACTTTTTGGTCACTATTTGCTTGTTACTTAAGTTTTTAGTCAATCAAGGGTATTCTTTCTCATAGGTTTTATTTTTTAACTAACTTTTCATTCATGTTATCCAAATATTCTCACATTTATTAGTAGATGATTATACCGATTACCATTCTAGTACTGAATATTTTGTTTATTTTTGGGACCTTTGTATTCTTTGTGCAACAGAAAACAAACTATTATAATTTGCTCTAGTAAGAAATCTGACTATCGTACTCTTACGAATTTCATTTCTAAATTAATTTGATTTGTTAATTACTACAACATATGAGTATCACTCATTCTTAGCTACTAATATATAATGTGATAATTAAAGTACTGTTTTGATTGTTATAATTGTATCTTTCACTTATAAAATAAATGCAAAGAGAATTGAATATTTGTGTTACATTGCTCTATGTACTTTCAACTTGGTCTCAAAATCCTCATTAAATAAGATGACTTACATTTTTACCAAGATTACGCATTTTCAGACTTGAGACTTGGTTTCTAAACTAAGTTGGCATCACGACGCTCATCCTGGTTTGAAAGACACTGTTGAAATAATAGATTGCATCCTAAAT